TGTATCCTCTTCCACAGGAAATCCTTTTCTCCAAGGATTTTAATTCCCACTCCTCCCCCCCGCCCCCTCACACTGGATTCTCTTGTTTCATGTTAGACAAATTAAGTTTTAGGTTTACACAACAGAGACAGAATATCATATGAGCTGTTCAAATTGCAAAATTTTGTATTGGAAAGTTTTATTTGAACCTAGTCCAAAAGGGCTTTTTTTTTTTTTTTTTTTTTTTTCAAAGTACCCATTCTAAAACTGCAAGTCTCATTTTCTGGACCCAGAGGACAGAATTATATAGAGGGCTTTGGGTAACATTAATGGTAATAATGGGTATATGTGTTTGGAGGGGAAAGCTGCTGCATGTTTTAGTTCTCTAACACTACATAACAAATTTCCCCTCAAATTTGTACCTTAACACAATGTGTATTATCTTACACAGTTTCTGAAGGTCAGGAACTCAGGAGCACAAGGTGTCATGATATTGCAGTCATCACAAGGCTCAGCTGGGCCTGGAGGATGTTTCCACATGGCTGTTGGCAAGGAGCCTTAGTTCCTTGAATGCTGGTGACCAGAGGCCTTCACTACTCACTACTGGGGCTCTCCATTGACTTTCTGAGTATCTGCACAATATAGCTTCCTCTGTAGCAAGTGATCGAAGAAATCAAGCACACCCAAGGCAAAGCCAGTCTCTTCATCACCTAATCTCAGACATGACATCTCATCACTTCTTTCATATTCTATTCATAATAAGCAAGTCTAGCCCACGCTTAAGGGAAATTAAGCTTTGCATCTTGAAGGGAGGGGTATCAAGGAAACTATTTTTAACACAATTATGTTTTATTACAAAGGATATTACAGAAGATACAGAGGAAGAGATGCATAGGGCAAGATACAGGAAAAGGGACACGGAGCATCCATGACTCTCAGGAAACACTACTCTCCAGCAATCTTCACACGTGGAGCCATCCAGAAGCTGTCCTAACGCTGTCCTTTTGAGTTTGATGACAATTTTATTACATAAGCATGTTTTATTTTTTAAAATAGTCTGGTGAGGAAATCCAACAAAGTCTGTCTATTTAGATTCTTTCTGGTCTTTCTTGTGTGAAGTACTCCTTCTTCTAAGGCATAGGGCAGGACCCCTGTGGAATAAGAAGGGTCTTATTGCCTGTTCATGGCAAAGGGTGGGTCAGAGGATTTCTTTATGGTTAGCTTCTAGAGTTTCTCTGACTCACTTCAAGAGAGAGGAATTCTAGTTTCTTTGGCCTGACTTAGAGAGGAAGTTATGGGTTAGGAACCATGGATAAAACCCCCAAAATGTCTATCCTATCACAGGTCACCTCTGGGTTTTTCAATAGATCCCTTTCATCAAAGGGGTATACAATTCAAGAGGTAACACATTATTAGATCCCCTCAGTGACTAATAACTAGTATAGTTTATCATCATATTGAAAGACTATGTCTCCTGAGGCCATTCAGGTTCCCAGGCTTTCACATGATCGCCTCAAGTCCCAAAAGCAGAGGTTTCAGCAAACATGCAGCTTCACCCTTTCAGGCAGTTGAGATAATAGCTGTCAGAGACAATGTCATCTCCTGCTCTGAGCCTCTTTTGAGGTGTTAATACTGAATCTCTCTCAATTCAAAACCCGTTTATTTATACTTTTGCCTTTGGCTTCTATTTATTCCTCCTTCTTTCCATTAACAACCTTTTTCACCTTTGAAAAAGACATTAACTGCAGCTATGGTGCTGGTCTAGAACCTAGGCAGCAATACTAGTCTAGCAAGTGCTTCACTCTTAGTCCACTCCCATGCAGAAGAATAAGGTTAATGGGTACAGAACTAGTGGGCTATTTCTGCCTCCAGGCAACATGGCTACATTCACCATTAACCCCCCATTTTTGCCAGATGCAGTGAAGATACAACCCACACCCATGAGGCCCTTAGGAATTCTGACATAGGTTTAAAACTACACTTAAAATTTCTTGCTGAGGAATCATCCTTACTTCAAGTACATACTGTTCTGTGGCAGTATATATTTTCCTTTTCAGGTGATGTGGGGGGAAAAGAAGACATTATCATAGTTACACCAGCATCCTTTTCCAGCATTTCTCTCTCCAAGGTGAGTTCCCCTCTCCTCCACATTCACCAGAAAAACAGTAATAACATCTAGTGGGGACACTCCTCCAGTTCCTCTCAGGCCAAGTGGGGTCACATGTGTGAGAAGGTGGAAGCCAATCCTCCATGCTGTTCTCTCTCCACTTTAGGTGATCTACTCCTAAAACTGTTACTCAGAGGATGTCTCTCTGCCCAGCGTTGAATATTATGAGCTATAGTGTGTGTTCTTTGGTTTGAAGCAATGATGGTTGCTGATCTAAACTCAGGCAGTCTTCTGCGCTGAGTCCTCTTAATGTTTGTATCCTTCACTGGCTAAACAGCCCAGCCTGGAATTGGTATCTATTCCTGTCAGGACCCCCCTGGGGCTAACAGCATCAGTCTCACTTGCCAACTCTGATGAATGCCTTCCCACCAAGGAAGCTGCACATAGCCATCCCTTTTGCTGGTTCTTGTTGCAATTTTGTGTTTCAAAGGGTGTGAGAGGAACATGTCTAGATTCAGTCCACTTTCACTGCTGCATCTCCCACCATTTCTTCTGATTAAATGAACCCAGGAGCCAACTTAAAGTGACAGCACAGGGATATCTGCTTGACAATTCTTTGGCAAGTTCTTTTGGTGAACATCTTAAATGTACCCGTCAAATTTCTATAGGGCTGTGGCTCACATGGGCATTTCTTTAATAGGCCAGGTTCTCACTGCTTTCTACATGACCATGTGGCCAGGTCATTGGCCACTGCTTGTAAGTCGGTGAAGACCCCCAAATGGGTCTTCAATTTTTCAGCATTTTATTCAGTCTGCCAGGTTATTTTTGGCTTCTTTAATCAGGTGGCATCTTCTCAAATAAGTTGTTGTCCATTTACCTTAGAACTGTCATCCACACAATAAGCAGCTCATGGTCAGTCAGTTGAGAGCTACTGTGGGGTACTGTCCAAATGCTGACAGAATCCAGTAGTTTCAAAGGGAGTTCTAGGATCATTCCTAGGGGAACAGAGACTCCCTTCTCAGATCTCCTCCTTTTGTTCCTTAGGTAGCATGATCTTATATAAACCATTTAAAAATTCTCTAGTCATGAAAATAATCACATATGATACCAGCTACTTACATCTAGTCTCTAGTCTGCTCTTTAGTCTACACCAGAGGTCAGCACACTTTTCTGTGAAGAAACAGGTAATAAGTATTTGAGGTACTGTGGGGCAGACTCCCTTGCAATGACCTGTCATTGTACACTAGAATAGCTACAGGCAACAGATAAATGAGTGTGGCTTCAGTCCAGTAAAACTTTTATTTGCAAAAATAGGCAGCTAGCTGGCTTTGGTCTATGGGCAGTAGTTTTTCTAACCTCTTGTCTAAGATACCAAGGTTTTTGGAAGTCTACCATACTCAATGATTTTTGTCTCCTTACTATCAGAATCTTGTTCCAAAGTCATTCATCTAGATGGAACAGCTGTCCAGCACACCACCATCATGTCCCCACAGCTTGAAATTCAGTAGTGAGATAACTACTGGCACATTTGAGATTTAGGTGGAGAAAAAAAAATCAGGACATAGTCCTTGTCATGGGAAGGAGGAAACAGTGTAAAGGAGAATTGGCTTGGTACACAAGGATAAAGACAGTGCCCTCATTATGTTTAATCACTGAGGTGGAGATGAGGTGAAGTCTGGGAGGAGGGGTTCTAGAACTGTGGGACCAGGCTATAGCATCGAGATTTTGTACTAAGTAAAGCTTCTGCCATTACAGAATCCCTATTCACCAAAAGAGTAAAATACTGGTGGTGGCAGGGAGGAGGGTGAGACACTAGACTTGTGAGTACCAAAGATGTGGTAAGGTAGGAGCTGCCCTCAGAGCCACAGGGAATATGTCGGGAAGAATGAAACTTCAGTGCTAGTTGCATCTCAATGTGGGATGGGAGATAGGGGCAGGGGGTAAAGGTAACTCCTTGGTCTGCAATGTTCATGGATATACTTCATGTGATTCTTTTTAATTAACATCAGTTACTTAGCACTGAAACATATAAGTTATTTGGCCTAATTTATCCTTTTTTGATTCTTAAATTTTATTTTGCACAACACTAATTTCCCAGGGGCATTTTTATTAAGCTTATTATGCAATCTGAGTATAAGGGTGAAAAACTGCACTTTCCTTCATGTTCATTTGCAATGAGATTTTTTTTTAATGGTACAAGGTAATTTCCTGCCTAAATTATATATTATCCTCAGGAAGACAGCTGATAAATCACACCCTTTAACTTACATTTTACTTTTCTCAAAAACATAGCTACTAAGTAGTCATTTCTAAGTTAAATTTAGAAGCCAAATCTTATCAATGTCTTTGATGAAATGTCCTTTGGCAATGAACAGCACTCTGCTGGAGAATTATTTCTTAAAGTTATTTTTTGCTGAAATTGAATGCTACCCACATGGATCTCATGACCCTATTTGGATAGCAGGTTTAACATCAACCTTCTTTTATTTTGTAAAGCTTTTCTCCCTCTTATTTTGAATCTGATAAGAATTTCAATTTTATTGCTACAATTTTCTTTGAAAGAAATGTACAACTTCCTTTGAAGTGATTTCACTGAATTTAAACTCATTTCCATACATTCTTAGGTATAAAATAATAATACAGGGAACAATGTTTTTTCTATTTAAGGAATTTACAGTTGGGAGCATTACAAAGGCATGGAACTGAGACATCTAGCTTCCTACTTTTTGATGGAAAATATGCAAATTAAATGTTAAGAGGAAACCAAGTTAGAGAAATTGAATGCATGTGAACACCCTGCTCTAAAGACACAGGCCAAGAACTGAGTGAGCATTAACTACCCTGAATACTGCCATTACCCTGAGCTGTGGGTAATGTGCCAACAGGCCGTCCTGCCAAACGCATATGTGAATGATTCCAGTTTTACTAATAACTTTATTTAAATAAGACACAGGAACTTCTATACTGAAAAAATACAAAACAGAAGCCACACATTTCCTTGTGTAAAGCCATATTGTATGATAACTCGAATACTGTTCAGCGCAGTGGCTAAAATTAAACAGTACAACTATATACAAAATTTAAACAATTTCTGACAATTTTCTACAGCTGGATGTAGGATACATTTGAGCTCAACAACTTCTGGAAAATTTACATGGCAAAGCACAAGCTTTAACACATTTGGTTCAAAACTTTAATATATGCTAAGAACAAATGTACAACACAATATTTAGTTTCTCATGAGAAAATAAAAGCACATCACTATAAATATCGTACATCAGATTTCATCACGAAAAAAGCATATTCAGTCCATCTTTCTGAAATTGATATTGATACTATTGCATCTTATTTGGACAAAGCAGAGCATAAGATCAACACATCATGTAATGCTAAACCAGATATCAGAAGTTAAATGGAGCTCATATTTATCTTACGGAACTAGCAATTCTCCCTTTAACCATAATCTACAAAATATAGTATTTTCATCAAGGCCTGAGATTATTAGGGTTAAAGGTGTCTGCTGCTGAAAGATTGTTTTAAAAGGTTCCCCTGTGAAAAATGGCAAAAGTAAACTGAGTCTTTTTCTCCATGACAGTCTCCTACAATATAACACTGACTAATTTAAAGGAGCCAAAATGCACCTTCAGGAGAGAATATTACTGCAAACTTTGGTGGAAAGAAGAGAATTGGGATCATGACAAAATAACACATGGACCACACATACACACAAACATTTACATATACATATAATTTCTTTGAAAAAAATAATGGTGTTGCTTTCTTTTCTATCATCTCATCCTTCTTCAACCTCCTTAGCAAATAAAGAAAAACTGAGGAATGACTGAAGAAAACTGAAATATTCCTTTAAATATAGGCACCTTGTTCTCCCCTTCTTCTTAAGAAAATATTGTGCCACACACTTTGGGTGCAGATAAGACAACTCTAGGTTTTCATAACTGAAATCAATGGAATAAAAACACAAAGCTTCCTTTGACTTTTGGATACTTTTGTTGTGCTGCAGAAAACTGTCTGAAAGTCAGGTTCTCCCACTGACTGATCAGGAATATCTAGGGCTCTCTTCACACTTTACAGAAAACTTATTTCAAGTCTTCAAGTTCAAGGCTACTTACTTGGATATATTCTCTACTTCACATATCCAAAATATTAACAAAACTATTCATGATAGTATTATGCAAGGCTTAAATTAGCTTTGAAATATTGCTTTTGTAAGTCACCAAATCACCTGCTTACTTATGTGGCACCAATTCTGAGACCCAAGTATTCTCTGCATGAATGCAACTTCATGCACCTCAACTGCTTGAAGAAACTAATAAACAAAACTTTGTCACTTTCTAACCTGGAAATTAAACAATTTCCAAAAGAGAAACTAAGCATAAATATGCTTTCAGATAAAAATGGTAGCAATTATGACCCTGATGGCCAACATAAAAAACCTCAATCATCCCCTGTGAAACTTCAAAACCCTGTTTTGAAATTAAACCTAGACATTCTTGTCTTTAAATTTCATCACACATAATGTGGAATGTTTATGTACAATCTAGTACTGAATACTTTATCTGCAACATTGTAACAGTCACTAACTGAGCAACACCCAAACTTTTAATTAAAACAGCCACATTTACACATTGGAACAGTGAATGCAACAGTTGTTTAACTTGTTACCACATGACAAAAGTGATGTCACACCACAGATTTGCTGGTTCTCCTCATGTTCACCCATGTCCAGGATTATCATTCTCCTAGGGTTGAATGCACTTCTTATTTTAAGAATGTGGAATGTAATGAGGAAAGGGAAATGCATAAAATAAGGAAAGGCAAGAGTGATGTTCCCTCTTTAGCTTTTTAGCTGTGAAATATTTAATATCCCAATATGATATACATTCCAAGTTACCTGAGTTTAGACTTCAACTGAAGTACCTGAAGCTAGGCCATAGGGTGGGCACTGTGCAACTGTTGTGGCCATTTTTTTTTTGCATTGTATGTATTACAGAAATTAGAAACAAACACCTGGATCAATTGTAAACATAATCCTGAAGTACAGTATTTTCCATAGGACAAAACACAGCAAGACATTTTCTATTTAGACAGGCAACTTTTTGATATAGAGCTTATTTATACTGAAGAATCTGGAACAACACACAGGACACAGTACTAATCTGTCAAACATACCATGAAATGCATAGTCTCCACTTAAACGCTGAATGACATACACATTTTGCAAGCATTACTGCTTTCCACAAAAACTGCTGAATAGGAGTTCCGTCCCTGCCAAGATCAGTGTTAAGAGATACTTTATGATGCTGATAAGTATTTTGTTGTTGGTGGTGGTGTTCAGAAAGTTTGTCACTCCATGCAGATAAAAGTCTGAGACCTTTTCCCAGTCCATGGAACATGGGGTGGAGGCCAGCTCCCCCTATGCTTAGATCATCACATAGTTCTGAGCAGAGATGTGTTCCTCACCCTGCAGTTCCTGCAGGAGCTGCTGCTGCTGGGATGCCTGTTGGACAGAGGTGTCTAAGGAGCTTGCTGTGCTGGTGTCATCTGAAAGAGACGTGAAGGAAACCCGGGAAGAGAGCTGCTCAACGGTCAGAGTTGCCAGAGTTGAGCTCTGGCCAGAGTTAGGAGAGTTCTTGAGCATCAGGTCGGAAGCAGGTAAGAGAGGGCCTAGAAGTTTCACAGGACAGAAAGCTGATCCAGTTGGGATGAAATTAACCTTGTTTTTGTCAGGACATGAAAAGAGAGGGGCCGAGAGAGGCTGACGAGACCTAAAACCATAAAACAAAATTAGGTTTACGATCACCAAGGAGTTAAGCACTTTCTGATTAAACTGGAGTTCTCTAAAATGGCTAAAATGTGAATGGCAGGGAATGAGTTAAGTGTACAAAGAGGAGTAAACATCTTCCATAGCACAAGTCAGCTGGCAGATATTCATGTGCACAGCACTGAAGTGATATTTGAGTCAAAACAACTTTCAAAAGGACTGGGCAGAGAATTTTTTTTTATAGAGATCATTAGTTTGTTTTCAACCATTTAGGAATATGAAAAAATTGTCTAAATTATAGTTGAAGATTGTGCAAGGTTAGGATAACCTTTTCTGTATTTTTAAAAGAAAAAAAAAGCATGGGGATAGAGAAGCATTTTTTTGTTGTTGTTTTTCTCCATCTCTAGACATACTCCGGCTGGCACATACTGGGGAGAAAAAGTTTCAATGGTCTCTCCAAGAGCCAGCCACCCAGCAGAGGAGGATCCATAAGCCCTTCCTCTCCTATTCCCAGAACTAAGCCATCAACTCCCGCAAGACCCATCTCTATCCCCTTTTAAGTTGCAAGGGTATAACAGCCTTCATTAGGCACCTGTGATGGGACAAAAGGATGATAGTCCAAAAGCCAGTCTTCTTCTGAGCTATTCTGCCCAGGTTTATAGCATGAACCTCTTTTTTGAATTTATTTCTAATTTATACATATTAAAATTTCAAAAAAATAAAAAAGAAAAGAAAAAAGAAAAACCAAATCTGTGAAGAGAAAGTTTGAATTAATGAATAAACAAGCTAGAAGTGTCTCTAGGGAAGGAGACTTTCCCTCTGGCTTGTGGAATACACTGTGTAGGCTAGTCATGTGTGCTAACTTTGCTCTTAAATGCCTTTTTGTCAGGCACCTAAATTAATACAGCTGTTGAAAGGAAAATTCTTAAAGATTAAAAATAGAACTTTTAGGTAAGAAGGATGAATTTCCAAGTTTCTCTGCACTGGCTTAGACATCCCCAGCATAGACTTCAATTCTCCTTCAACAGTATCTCCCTTTGCCTATTTGAATCTTTTTTCATAATTTGCTTTGAAACACATTATCAGCTGGATGGAGTAGTTGATTCATCAGTAATCAACTGGTCTCAGTAAAAAGCTTCACAGCTTTGCAGAACCCAGCTGATAGAAAAGACATTACTTACGCCATTTCCTCAAAGACTTTCACTCGCTCACATCCCTCTGGGGGCTCCCGTTTGAACATGTAGCTGTTGTTTGGTTTGGGAGATGAAGCATACTTGGGTAACGGTGAGCTACTCCCACTGTCTGTAAATTTAAAGCAGTTAATATTAACTAGTGATTGAAAGTTCTTTTGAATTAAACCTGATTTCCAAACAGCCTTCTGCACAGTTTATACACTGCTCCCCCTTTTCCTCTTACCACAGAGCCTCTTTTATTGTAAAGTTATTTCTAACATCCTTGTGAAATATATTTCATTTAAATAAAAACAGAAATCTGCCATAAAACACAACATAAAAGGAAGATGCTTTGGTCTGGAAAACTACTTTTTGAATAAAGTGGAGCTATGATACTGAAAATAAATATACTATCTATTATGTACTTCAAAAATGTAAATGTGGCATATATACACAATGGAATATTATTCAGCAATAAAAGAGAATAAAATCATGGCATTTTCAGATAAATGGATGGAGTTAGAGAAGATAATGCTAAGTGAAGTTAGCCAATTCCAAAAAAACAAATTCTAAATGTTTTCTCTGATATGAGGAAGCTCATTCATAGTGGGGAAGGGAGGGGAAGCATGGGAGGAATAGACAAATTCTAGATAGGGTAGAGTGGTGGGCAGAAAAGGAAGGGGGCAGGGGGTTAGAATTGATGGTGTAATGTGATGGTCATCATTATCCAAAGTATGCATGAAGATATGAATTGATGTGAATATACTTTGTATACAACCAGAGATATGAAAAATTTGTGATCTATATGTGTAATATGAATTGTAATGCATTCTGCTGTCATATATAAATTTAAAAATATTAATAAAAAAGACATGTATTAAAACAAAAATAAAAAGAATGTAAATAAATGAGGTAACATGTTATAAGTCATACAGAAGGATTATAACAGATTATAATAATACAGCATTCTCTATATGCTTTCTGTTTTACCAACTGAAATGAAAAATTTAGTATGTGTAATATTTTAGAAATATTTTTACTAAACACCATGAATAACATGTGGAGAGAGGGGAAAAAAGGCTTATAACACTAGTCTTCTTCCATATGCCGTCATAAAATAGGTAATTTGCTCAGAATTTTGTCTTTAAAATGCCTATAAAAGGGCTTTTTTAGCACAGTTTGCATTTTAGCTACTAAAGACATGGGAAATCCAAAAACATCTCTACCTAACATGTTTCCCTCATAATTTTTCACCAAAAAGAAAATGGTCTATTCATGAAAAGCTGTAAAACCTATATGCAATTCTCCCTTTCCTATTTGGCAAGGGATTTTGGAAATTCAAATCCACCAAAATGTGTCATTAACGCTGTAAGATGCCAAGTAGTAAAGTCAGTAATGTATTTGTATAAATCTAACAGTCCTATTTAAACAAATTCTGACTTAATGCAAACCAATTCCCACTGCTAAAATACCAAGTACAAGATCAATGGTGATATATTATTATCATCTATTTTGAAAGATGGCATCACCATCACAATTATATTAGAATTTTGGTACACTGTTTTAGTTTAGGGTACAGAACAAAGTCCAGAAAAGTTCAGAAACTCAGCAACAGGAACATTTTTATCATCATTAATGAGGTTTAATATGAGATTTGGAAATAGACTCTTGGTCTATTTTCCTAAATAATACTTTATTTTTTGAATGATTCAAAGAGCATCTATGTTAGTCTTGAGAATACAGATGAGTGCTTAAATTTGAGTATGGCTATATCTCTAGCTGGAAAAGCCACATAGTTCATCTATCACTGTCATTCATATCCTATAGATTATGCACAGGAGTAAATAGAATGAAGCACGTTTCTTCATATACCATTCAGATTTGAGGATTTTCATATATCCAACATTTATTCTGTATCTTGATTAGATAAATGGAAGAAAAAAAGGAAAATGTGATTTTCTCCGTTAGATCAATACAAAACATGAGACTGAGTAGGGTTCTGAATTTGCTGTTTCTATTTGAATGAGGCTAGACAGACACACTGTTCAAAAACTGGTGTGAATAAGGTCCTGAACTCAATGCAATATCCAAAATATACCTTGACCTAATTTTACTATCTAGACAGCAACAATTCATAAGAAGGAAATAAACTGGGTCAAGAATACAAGAGTATGTCATAAAAAGCCTCCATGGAGATTACAACTGAACACAGCACAGCCACACAGTATACAGAATCAGTAAAATCTTGTGCTGATGCCTATCAGTAAGGGTATGACCATGTCACTAGTCAAGGATTCACTCAAATTATCATGTAAGAAAAGTTATTTCAGTCAGTTGCAGTCTTCTGTGCTCTATTTCTTATTATTATAAGGGCTATTTAAGTTTTATTATTGGTTTCAAAGGATCTACTCAGAGTTGAAGCTGCAAAACTAATAACCTTTTTCATAAACATTCTAAAATGAAACAATTTTTCTTAAACTTTTTTTCTCATTCTAGAGATTACAAATATATTCTTTTTAACAGAGCTGTACCTACTTAACCATTCTTGCTTTAAAATATTCATTTGGGAGAGGGTAATTAATATTAAACAAAACATATTATCAGCCTAGACAAATAGTATTCAGTGCTATTATATTATTTTGACTTTTCAGTAAAAGAGCATTTGGTTTTCTGTGGACATTTAAATTTTGGGGGGGGTCTGGAAAGACAATGCTTAAAAAATATTTTGAGAATATAAACAAAGATCTGTGAAATCTGGACTTTGCCCCTCAGGTCAGTATATAATCTTAGTGCAAAGAGGAATGAGGAACAGAGACATGTAGTTTGTGGCTTTATCATTTGTTGAATAGTTGTGTTACCTTGAACACAACTTGCCTCTCTGGATTTATATGTAATTAAAGCAATCATCACACATGAATTCTAAACTTCTGTGATTTTTTTCTTCTTTAACAGTTTTAACATACTAAGGAGGAAAATTGTATCAAAATATTTTTTTGCTTTACAATGTAGAATGCTTTAAAAATAACCTATATTACCAAACTGTTCTACCAATTCCATATATGAATGTATAATGAATCACCTATTCAGTTAAAACTGTATTAAATATCATAATTATATTTCAAATATTCTAAATATGAAGCAAGCATGCCTGCTCAGGAGATTCAAGATGAAAAGCCTCGGTAATCTTAATTATATGACTTTTCTATTATCCTACAGAGGAATAATGTGTGTTCATAACTAGAAATAAAATTGAGATTAAGTTAAATGTTACTTTATGGTCTTATAACATTATAGCCAACTGTCAATTAATAAAATTAAATGCAATGAACATGCTTATTTACATATCTTTCTGTACTTACAACAGTCTAATTTATATTTGTAACAGAATCATGAGAAAATCAAGAGCATGAAAACATTTCATCGATTGTTTTATTATAACAGATCATATTTATGTATGTGTACCATATTTATATTAAAATATAAGTAACTTGTAAATATAACTTGTAAATATTTTTAAACATGATAATGAATTAAATCTTGGGAGAATTAGAGAAGTTATTGAATTTGAAATTCTACAAATAAAGAATAAATGATGTGTACTTTTATGGCTTAAAAGTTTCTGAATGAAGAAATTTTCAGAAATGGTCTTTATTATATTATATAATATATATTATATTTATTATATTACTAGTCTTCATTATTTCTCATATATTACGTCATGTGATCTAAATTCCTGTATTAAAATAATATATATATATAAAGGTTGATTATGTTTATTATTTATGTAAATAGGTGTGTAAATTCTTTGCCATGGTTATATTCAAGCTCTAAATCTTTAGATGTGCTTCATCTCTATCAAATTAACAAATTAAATATGCTTATTCTAAAAATAGCAAGTATAATTATACAATGGTGATTTGTAACCCAAATTCCACATTATTAAAACAACACAAGATGTTTTAGAAGTAAGAATATATAGCCTTCATTCCTAGGAGATTCTAATTTAATTAGTATTGTGAGGAAATACTTCTTTTTTTGCAGGGGAGTTTCCAATTGCATCTGATATACAATCAAATTTTGAGAACCAACCATGAATATTAAGAACACTGGTTTGGAATCAGGTTACCTTTTATGTAGATGTAACTGCATGATCTACAATCATCTCAAATTTTTGATCTATAAAAATGGGAATGGCTACTGATATATTAGCTATAAAAAATGTGTACAGAAAGAACAGTGTCTGAAAACACAGTAAGTTCTCAATAACGTTGTACTGGTGGAAATAATACATCTTATCAAATTTTCAAATTTAAAAAGGCAAACTTTTCAGAAATTAAGTACCTATTCTACTCTCTTGGCAGAAATGGGTAAAAAGAAAAAGTCATTTTCAATGGATTTGCACACTCTATTCAGTTAAGCAAAGATAAAATTTTATTTCTGGCAGGAAAGCAAAGTAATATTTGGAGTACCAGATTCTTGTGGTTTGCAACTGCCTAGCATGGACTCTGTGGGCTTATGATGGCATCCTGTAGTATATAGAAATCTATCATCCTGAAATTAAATTAAATTCCTTAAAGCATGTAGAGAAATAATTTTATAATATACACAGCAATAACCAATACCATGGAATTCTTATTCTAGCTTTCCCAGGTAACTGACTGGGAAAATGAGAATAGTGTTCAGCCAACACTGTACTCAATGACATACTAAGAGTATAATAAAAGTACCAGTTAACCAACAGAGTTAGATTAGAAATATGACTGAATAAGTAGGGACCAAACAGAATTACTATTCTGCTGCTAATATTACTTATTTTGCTTCAGGACATGAAATTATCAACTGTACTGAGGTTTGATGGCTAATGAAATCAGGAAAACCACACAATCATATAGCGCTTCTTAGCAACAAACTTTTAGAACCAGGTAGCATTACTAACTATATCGAAAGGCCTGCATTTTCTGCTAACTCTAAAACCAAATCATGATATTACATGTAAAGAGAATTTAACAAATAGTCTCCAAGCTTTTTGTAAAACTTCAAAGTTAACCCTTTATGAGAATGCATATGATTTCAAAGAGTTGTAGTTAAGATCTCTATAAGATCAACACTAATCAAAGGGTAAGGAGAAAA